AGGCCGCACTCTCCTTTTCCGTCCCGAGACGCATAGTCATCCTCAGCGGAGCTCAGACTCAAATGGTGGCAGCCATTCTGTGGGGATGTCAAAGCAGTGAGAAGGCAGATGCTTTAAACGTTTGAATTATTTAGTAGAATCAGTGTCTGTGTAATGATGTGTATCACTAAATATACCAACAGCCAAGAAGAAAATAATGTCTGCTTGTTACAGGAACTGCTATGCATCAGAAATAACCCACTTGAACTTTCTGTATTTTGACTAAAACTCAAATTTGGTGGGTCTCTCTACATGTAATTTCATATTCACCAATTTCAGGACCAGAACCACACGATACAAAAACAGCTTCTTCCCTTCATCAACAAGCCCCCTGACCCCCGCTGACACAGTCCCTGCGCCTGTCCCCCCCCCCACTGACTCTGCCTGCATTTTTGTTTTATCTGTCTATTCTACTTGCCATTATATATGTTATATTTCAATTTTCAGCACATCTCCTTTCCTTTATATTCCTTTATATTAATTGATAGTATATTGTACAGCTTTGCACTGTTGGCTCTGTTTTATTGTACTATTTTAATTCTACTTATTATTTTTATTCATTTATGTTCTATTTTGCCTGTGAATGAATGCACCAATATTTCCAAAACAAATTCCCAGTTCATGCAGTTGTTCCTGGCCAATGAAGTGAATTCAGTTTCTGATTCAAAAATTTAGCATTAAGATTAAATGTATATCAAACTATCTCTCTACAAAATACTACCTAGCATTATTTGAAAATACACTTTACCTTTGGATGTAAGAAGTAGGAAGACTGTGTGATTTAAGAGGACCACAAAAGGCAATAGGAGTGTCTGCTGACTCTGGTTTCAGCTCCAGAGTCCGAGAGTCACCCATCAGTCCCGCCCGTCTGCCTGCTATGGAGTGCTGGTGACGAGTGCCACGGAAATAAAGGGAGGATGTGAAATATTCTTACGATATAAAGCATTTGATGTCAAAGAAAAATCCTCTCGATTAGATAATACTCAGCAGATATTAGGACTGTTTTCTGTTACCGAAATGGTCTGGGAACAGCAGCGAGACCCGGGCTGGTGAGAATCCACACCCCAGTACTGATAAACAGGCCACATGCAGCTGATAGAGGCACTGCCTGCCTGACTCCTCACGGAATAATGATTTATTGCTTTAATTACCCAGCAACGGGCTTGGGGAGAGATTGTGGCACCCAGAGGAGGACTAACTAGTGTCCCTCCACTCTTCGCTGTCTGCACCCCCCGTCTCTCATCAGGTCCTTCACAAGCTGAGTTAATATCATTATATAAAGGCTCTTTCAGTCAATACCAACTGCTTTCAGGGGGTCCAGTAGCCAAAGGCATGTCAGCAATGAATCCAAGCAGGTGGAAAGCTGACCCAGACAGGTCTTCGATGCTGCATAATGTCCTGAGTCAATGCTGTCATGAAGTATTGTAATCCAGATGTGTTAAAGTAATATCCTACAATTGGTTGCTATCTTTACACTGTCTGGTCTATTTTTGTGTTCTTCCATTTCATTTACATTGTTATTTTTCCCAGTTATTCAGTCATTATTTCCCTTGTTTGCATTTGCACCATAATTGATCCTCTCCCTTTGAGCATGACTTCCATTCGTCAGACTTCCAGTGATGTTATTTCTCCTGTTGATGACACTGATCTGAAATCCTGGCCACAGTCAGTGCTAGCAGGGGACAGGCCTGTAGTTCTGGTTTATGCAAAGCTCAGTTATGCTGCCGTGGGCCTATGGGATCAAGGGCTGAAGTAAACCCAGTGGTTGTTTCGTGGAAATAAATCCGAAAGTATAGGACAGAGGCGAGCACGTCGAGAGTGGGCACATCGCGTTCGGAGAAACCAGTGACACTTAAGCCATTTAATCCATCAGCCTTACATTTAACTACAACTACCCAAATGGCTGAATCCAGAAGCAGATATGCTTTGGGCTAGAAGGGTGTGGATGGTCAAAGTGTCTCCTGTGTTGGTTGGCAAGACCATGGCTGCACTTGGTAAGAAACATCTGTGCATCTTCCATACCCACTTGTCCTATGCAGAGTTGTGGGGGGATCCAGAGCCTATGAGCACAAGACAGGGAATAACCCAGGATGGAGCGCCAACCCATCGCAGGGCACAAGGCAGGGAACAACCCAGGATGGAGCGCCAACCCATCACAGGGCACACTCGCCATTCATACCTATGGACAGTTTGACAACTCCAGTTCATCGTAGTATGTTTGTGGACTATAGGGGGAAACTGGAAAACTTGGAGGGAACCCCACAAACATATGGGGAAAACATGCAAGCTTCACACACATGGAGTCAGGGCAGAGACTCAAACCCCAGTTCAAGAGGTGTGAGGTCACAGTGCTAACCACTGCACCACCATGCCGCCTCTCTAGTAAGAAATATACCAAACGTCTTTAGCTACGCAAAGGGAAATTTGAAGTTCTGCTCCAATCAGCTGCTCAGCAGGAACAGGAAGCAGTTAAAGGAAAATTAGACTGAGAATTATGACAACAGCACAGGGGTGATTTAGCCTTGGAAGATGAACTGAAAAAGCTGAATAGAGTGTCTGCTACTGCTATTGAGTTATGAAACCCTTTTTATTTGACTGGTTGACTGAGAAATGCAGGTGAGAAGTGATATAACTGGGACAGGTCATTCCCCAGGCCGGATTTTTGGGGTTTATGAAATATTTTACGAGGATATCAAAGTGTTTTACAATCTAACAGTGTATGTGGAGGCAAAAATGAGGGTGAAGCTGGGGCTGTGTGTTGTTGAGGTGGAGTTATGCTGACAACAGGGCTATTTAGATAATTTGTGTCTCTGCAACAAAATACCCAGCAGCTTCTCTTACGCAACATGTGACAGGGAGAACAAAACGCCACAGCAGCTGCTGTTCAGGGCTGCTAGTCACCCTAAGGTTTTCTATGATCAAGAGCTGCTAGCTGACTGCCCGCGAATATGAAGATAAGAACCTCACCTCTCCACCCACACGCGGCTGCAGTGAGTAGCTGAAGCAGACCTGGAGTATGCCACAAAAAAAAGTGCGTTTCTGCCACTGGAGAGAACTGGGGCAAGTTACTGGTTATGCTCCTCCTCCACCTCCTTCTCCAAGTAAGACGCACGTAAACCTCAGCTGTTCACTTCTGAGCTGCTCTGTCATAACGAGGCGTGGGAGCCTTTGGACATGCTGAGAGGACGTCTGGGAGGAAGAAGACACCAAAAATGAACGGACTGTGAGTGAGGCCATGCACACTACTGTCAAGGCTTACAGATTAAGGTGATGCCACAACCTGAAAGGGCCCCAGTCATTAGTCTTGCCAGACTGGCAGAATGTCAACACAGTGAAGCATCAGAAAACAGACTGGTGGGATGCAAGGCCGAACTGGTAACAATGCTGGGACGTCAGTTTGCTCCAGTCAATCAGAGCTGCTTCAGCCACAAATCATACTGAAGAAGGCTGGTGCACTCCTATAGTCAATACTCTTTATGTTAGAAAACAGTACTCACAATGTTGGAAAACAATACTCACAATGGTAGAATAATGTTAGTCATTTAGTGCTGGAGGAGTAAAACCAGTAAAAACAGACCTGTTTGTCCCTAATGTGTGATTTCAAGCAACATGAACCAGTTTAACGAGTGGCACTGGCTGGCAGCCAGGTGCAATGACAGAAAAAGGCAAAATTAATCAGGATCCTTCCTTGTGTGTATAGCCTTAACCCCCAGTTGCTCCAGGGATTGTCTGACCCGACTTTCTCTCAAAAAAATGTATGTCACTCTGAATAAAACAGTCTGCTAAGTAAATAAAATGTAAATGAATAGGTGCTGAAAGGAGCAGCTTGAGAAAGACTGAGTGTGATTTATACACGGTGTCTGTCAGAAGATTTGATCCACCTCCAGCGTCTCCACTTTTTGCTGAATTACGTCAAAACGTGAACATTCAAGCTGAAGATTGATATGGGCCAAAGAAAAAAGAAAAAATGTCAGCAGAAAGAGGGAAGAAGTGAAAGCCGCTGAGACCATAATTATTCATCCCCTGAGTCAATACTGTAGAAATTACCGCAATGGTTTGGGCTTTTTGGACAAGTTCCTGCTGATTTTTGGAAAATGGTCTAGAAAATGTTATAATATATATAGATGGTGCAGTTTTCAGACCTTTCTCAAAGTGAACTTGCAAAAGTTCTGTCTAGCTGTTCGTGGATTGTTGACAGACACTGGTTCTCTTGAGACAAATTTTCTTTGACTGGGTCTGTCAGGTGAAGTTTCAGAATAGAGTGTCTGGTGGATTTTACCAGCAGTCTAACATGCTGCCACTAGCATATGGACAGAAACTTCCACCAGTATCGTTGTTAAATTAAATTGCAGCCAGGAGGCGGACAAATATTACATCATTTTGTGGCCATGTGATTTGGTATTTTAGTATCCCTCCTCAGCCCTCCCCCCACCCCCACCCCCCAAATCAGATCAGGGCCAGATTAGAGAACGATTAGGGGCCGGCAGATGGGTCACAGCAACATTTATTCCAGCATTGCATTCATTTTTGATGGCGAACATTTTTCATGCTATTCTTTATCATTATAGTTGTTAATATCCTGTTACCATCATTTCCGATGCAGTTAAGGTTGCTCTGTTTACACTTCAGACGTGCAAATCCCATGATTGATTTGAAAGTCTCTACAGTGGCTTTATTGTTATGTAAAACATTCTCTATATATATACCTAGAATGAAAACCTGTGTTTTTAATCTCTGCTATGGTGAAAAATGCTGAGTGGAGGATGGATCTTAACAATACAGATACTTTTTCTTTGGCATTTTGGGTTTTCTGTTTTCTTAAATCCCCCTTGGAAAACAGACCATAATGTACTGCTTTAAAATAACACTCGATTGATTTTACTGAGATGCACAATCCAGGTTAAATACACTATAGCGCTTTATTGAATTTATAGGGTGACTGTAATGTTTATCTTGATTAGCTAGGTGCCGTAATGCCTTTTGGATGCCTTGCTGTGCGAGATGGGCAGATCTACAATAGCCTGTCGGACATCACAGACAAATATGATTTCGGCCAGGTCCTGAAGGCGTAAGTATTCGCAAAACAACCCTCTGGTCTCTGTCCTTACCAGCAAGAGGAGCCAAACCAGAATATTGGGAGGTTTTTCAGCACCTAGGAGCCCAATTTGCACGTTGGTTGGATGGACTTTGAAATGAATGCACAAAACTGAGCTCAGAACCTGATTAAAATAAATTACAATGTATTTCAGGAAAGGTCAAATCATTGTCATTTTGCCAAGTTTTGGTCTTCTCAGAATACGTTTTTGTACAGACAGAGATTTCTGTATTTAAAGAAAACTACCTGTTTTTGTTTAACTGACATCGAACTGGGTGTAATATCTTTGTAAAACTGGCTACTCCAGTTCCCTTCTGCTTGGAAGAAATTTCTTTTGGCTTTGCCTCCCATAGCAAGGAGTTCTGCGAGCTGTGCCTTGTCAAGGAGCGTGAGACGGACAAAGTGTACGTGTGCAAGAAGTTCCTGAAGAAGGACGGCAAGAAAGTCCGCAGAGCTGCAAAGAACGAGATCATGATCCTGAAAATGTAAGAGGTGCCAGAGAGGGGCCGATATGAGGGGCATCAGGCAGCACTGCTAACCACAGTGCGATGGTGTTTCAGCAGAAACGTCTGATAAATATCTCTCATTCTTTGATGGAGACAGTTTCCATTTCATCGTCTGTAAAACCCAACACTGCTCACTTATCATATTAATAAAGGCAAATATTTCTCAGGAGAAGATTACCTGTTGGATTTTAAAATATGTTCTTTTCTTTTTTAGGATTAAACACCCTAATATTCTGCAGCTGATTGACACATTTGAGACCCGGAAAGAATATTTCATCATTCAGGAACTGTAAGCACAGCTCCCGGTTTACACCTGTGCTTCCTGTTCACACTCCAGTCAAACCCAAAACAATGACATTTAGTAACCTCTTCAGTCCCAAAGTCTACTAGTAATAAAATACTGGCATTTTGGTGGCACATTTTCAGCATTGTTTTCTTGTGTCTCTGTGAAGATCAGCAGGACATTAGCATAAGTCTACTGACGTCCAAACAGAGAAAACAGTGGAAAATATTCACTATTCCTTGTATCACTATTGGAAGTATACTCAAACTGGAATTCAGTTTGGTGGTTTAAAATGCAGTTTTCTAAGTTACTGTACATACAATGCACCGGAAATGTTACCTACTGGTCAGATGAAAATGCTATTTGAACATATTAATTTAAATGCTATTAAATTACATTGTAATGTTGCATTTGAAAATATGGCTTGTGTTAGTCATATCAGTGTGTAATAATTAATAGCAAAAGCGTTCACTATTTTTTGACAAATTATCTTATCTGGATGAATGAGTGGTTGGGCTCTGTCATTTGACACGTCCAGGGGGAAAAACCTAGTTGTCTGTGCTTGTAGGAAGGAATTTCAGTGAGCTGAATGATAGTGATGAGACTCATGTGTGACTGAATTTAATGTGTTCATGATGGTAGAGTAACGCATGTGTGTGGGTGAATCAGGGCCACGGGAGGCGATGTCTTTGACTGGATTCTGGACCAGGGCAACTACACAGAGAGAGACGCCTCAAATGTCATCCGGCAGGTCCTGAAGGCTGTGGCTTACCTGCACTCCATCAATATCGTCCACAGGAACTTAAAGGTGCGTCTGCTTGCCTACACTCCTCCAGCCTCATCTGCAGAGCTGGAAAGTTCAGATCCAGAAAGTTAAAATCCTGACCAAGATTTCGTTTCAACCAAGCAGCTGAGTACTCTGTGACTGTGACTCTTTATACTCAACTGGTTGGTTGAAACAAAACCTTGGTCTGGATTTTTCTTTTCTCGACCTCAACACTCTACCTCTGCTCTCAGAGAGGTACAAATCTACTGCAGTTTAAAACGACACCCCCCCCCCCCAGTTATTAATCTCTGTATGACCACTAGGTGGTGTAAGGCCCATATTTATGCTGATGACACATCTGAAGTCATCCTTTTTGAAGAAGGGTAAAAAGCCACACCCTGTCTAACTCTCTAACATATATGCTTACCAGATGGCACAGTGCTTCACTGCTGTGTCATAGCTCTTGGACTGTGGCCTCGGGCCCTGCCCCTGCTCGGTCTGAGTGTGCCGTATACATGTTCTCCCCATCTCCTTAGGGTACTCTGGTATGCTCCAAAGTCAACCCTACAGGGGAGCACTTTCAAGTTAAACGGTCAGCTTGGGAACAGCTCACCCAGTCCTCTGAACCAAAAGGTCTGCTTTTTGAGGCTTTAGTGCCCCTTGTGGCCACACTCCCTGTTCCTCCTGTCTCTGAAAGCCTGTCCTTATATCACAATATAATTTCAAAATATTAAACTGTAATTTTGCAAGAACCCCTTATGGCTATGACATGAAAAACAAATATAATTGCGATTAATCATTACTAAATTGCCAAGCAGAGCTTCCCTTCCCTTCAGATCATATTTGTAACAGATGATGTTAATGTTCTTTTGAAATCTGGGTCTCTTGCACCCTCTTGTGTAGAGAGCAGTGCAAATATTATGGTGAGCTCAGGACTGACTGATCAGCATCACTGCATGTGGGCCAATGTAGAGAGCAGTGCAAATGTCATGGTGAGCTCCGGACTGACTGATCAGCATCACTGCATNGACTGACTGATCAGCATCACTGCATGTGGGCCAATGTAGAGAGCAGTGCAAATGTCATGGTGAGCTCCGGACTGACTGATCAGCATCACTGCATGCGGGCCAGTGTAGAGAGCAGTACAAATATTATGGTGAGCTCAGGACTGACTGATCAGCATCACTGCATGCGGGCCAATGTATAGAGCAGTGCAAATATTATGGTGAGCTCAGGACTGACTGATCAGCATCACTGCATGTGGGCCAATGTAGAGAGCAGTGCAAATATTATGGTGAGCTCAGGACTGACTGATCAGCATCACTGCATGTTGGCCAATGTAGAGAGCAGTGCAAATATTATGGTGAGCTCCAGACTGACTGATCAGCATCAATGCATGTGGGCCAATGTAGAGAGCAGTGCAAATATTATGGTGACCTCAGGACAGACTGATCAGCATCACTGCATGTGGGCCAATGTAGAGAGCAGTGCAAATGTCATGGTGAGCTCCGGACTGACTGATCAGCATCACTGCATGTGGGAAGAAGCTACTTAAGTGATGTGTTGATTCTGTTTTCTTTGTCCCTTTTAAAAATATACCACCCTCCTAAATAATGCTGTGTAGATTCACTCACGATAAACCACCGACTTCATCAGGGATACTCAACTTCCACACCGAAGCACTGTTTAATCCAGGCCCTGCGATCGATCCACAGCAATCCGGCTGCCAAATTTTATTGTGGGGTACACCACACCCCCCACCCACCTTGTAGCAACTTTTTTCACCGTGGACATTGACCCCCTCCATCCTCCTTGAAATATTTTTACAACTCAACCACTGACTATTTGTAACTGTCAATTCCCACGACCCTCACCACAGCTTTCACTCAGTCATTTCATGAGTTTTCATTTGTATTCATACTGTGTTTAATAATTCTGCTGTCTGGCAAGAATAAATATATATATTTGTGTAATCTATTAATTCATTTTAATATTCTCCATATTTTGATTTTTAAAGGTGAATTCCACGCATTGAAATTTCTGTATTTATCATCTACAGTCTATCAACTTATCATAAAGTTTCAAGTTGACTCCATTCCTGTTCCAGCTACATTGTTATGAAATGTTGTACCCCTCCGGCCCACTAAAAAAACGAGCCCAAAATTGATCCGTATTTCCTGAAATCATGATCTTTTTGCCGTTTACGAATGCAGCAACATTAAAACTCTTATTCCTGCACGTGTCTCTGCTGCCCTCAGCTGGAGAACCTGATGTACTACACAGAGAACAACCACAATAAAGTCGTATTGCGGGATTTCTACCTGTCAAAGTTTGAGAACGGAGCTATCACTGAGCCATGCGGCACACCGGAATACTTAGGTACGCCTTTTAATTTTTCTCTATTTTTCTGTCTCCTCTTTTTTTATGGCAGTAAAAAATTTCACTGGTCTGTATTCATTATGGAACTGTGTGTGCACACACACCTATGAACAACCTACAAGTGCAAGCAGAATCACACTTTGTCCACTTTGGACTACAAAATGCTCATCTGTTACCCTTCATGCCTTTGCTTTCAGCCCCTGAGGTTGTGGCCAGGCATCGCTACGGCCGCCCCGTTGACTGCTGGGCCGTGGGGGTCATCATGTACATGCTGTGAGTTTGGGTTGGAGTACAGCAAACACACACAGCCCAAAAACACAGCTCTGGGTGTAGTGATGACTGTAACTAACTCTGCACACCCTTCCTCATGTCTGCTCTCTGTCAGTCTCCCTCTTTACCCCACTAGCTTGTTCTGAATTCTTCTCCGCTTTGCTAATTTCACTTCTTCTGCCAGCCCAACAAGGATGGGCTCCCCCTTTGAGTCTGGTTCTTTCCAAGGTTTCTTCATATTTGTCTCTGTTACCTCTGGCTTGCTCTCTGGGTGCACTGGGCACGGATCATGTAAAGCTCTTTGAGACCATGTAATGTTGCGGAAAATGCATTTTTTTAAAGTTCAATTGAATTGAATTGAAATTTCCTTCCTCATCTCCCCAATTTTCCTCACCAGTCTGTCTGGGAATCCACCATTTTATGATGAAACAGAGGAGGAGAATACGGATATTCATAACCGCATTATCTTCCGCCGCATCTTGTCTGGGGAGTTTGAGTTTGACTCCCCCTACTGGGATGATATCTCTCCTGCAGGTACAGAATCACACTGACATCACCTCTACAGTACGTCCTGCATGTATGGTCACTGTCTGTGGAGATGCTTAGTACATGAGAAGCCATCACACCTGGCAGTCAAGATGAGATCGGCTTGAGTCCAGTGATGTTCACAGGTGCTGGTTTATTCAGTAGTTTATGCTAATTTTGTGTGTTTTTATATTGTAGCGAAAGAGTTAGTCTGCAGGCTGATGGAGGTGGACCAGATGCTGAGGATCACAGCCCAAGATGCTCTGTGGCACGAGTGGTGAGTTTAACTGATTAACACTAAGGCTGAAATCACACATCCAATCACAGTGACAGACACAAACATCTACAGGAGACTCATGGGGGAAAGCCAACACAAATTTCATGAACATCATCGGTTGTGCTTTCTTTGCAGTGCATGAACCCATGAATTGTGATTATTGATGAAGGTATGTTTAAAAACAGTTTTACAACTAATGTGTGTCTCCTTTTCAAACTTAAATGAAAGAACCTCATCCTCTCACCATGGACGGCTGAGAAATGTCTTATTGATGGACTTTGTCTTGATCCTTCATCACAGCTTATATCTAGCATTTAGTAAGCAAGTCCACTTATTTCTCTTTTCAGTAATGTTACTATTCCCGGGGGGGGGGGATCAGCCAATTGACCTTGGAGCCCCCAGAGGTTTTTTTTCTCCTTACTTGGGAGTTTTTGGTTCCTCTCCTCCATTGCCTTCTGGCCTTCCTTATTCAATTTCTTTCCTTCCTTTTTCCCGTTCTGCATTACTTTCTGTAATGATGTTTAATGTATCACAGCACATCCATAAAGTGCCTCTGATTTGAAGGGCGCTACAGTCAGGTCCATAAATATTGGGACATCGACACAATTCTAATCTTTTTGGCTCTATGCACTACCACAATGGATTTGAAATGAAATGAACAATATGTGCTTTAACTGCAGACTTTCTGCTTTAATTTGAGGGTATTTACATACAAGTGAACGTTTACATCAGGTGAATGGTGTAGGAATTACAACAGTTTGTATATGTTGTATTAACCGTTCACCTGATTTGTATGTAAATACCCTCAAATTAAAGCTGAAAGTCTGCAGTTAAAGCACATCTTGTTCGTTCATTTCAAATCCATTGTGGTGGTGTATAGAGCCAAAAAGATTAGAATTGTGTCAATGTCCCAATATTTATGGACCTGACTGTATATAAAAATGAATTGAATTGAATTGAAAATGTTGTTAATACACATTTGTATTTGGCAACTTCAAACAAATGAAACTAGAATCCCTTATCCAGTATTATAAGCTCCTTTCAATGAACCCAACTCACAAATCGTGGCACATTTGTCTTCCCTGTTTTGGTCTCGTGTCTGTTTTAGGATTGCTGGTAACGGGGCCTCTGAAAAGAACCTGAAAGACGGAGTATGTGCGCAGTTTGAGAAGAATTTTGCCAAGGCTAAGTGGAGGGTAAGCATTACCTCAGATTAACAAGACCAGGCAACAGCAAAACTATTATCTAAATCAACTGATGCACTTATTACAAAGCAACCTTAATGTTACATACACTACCAGTCAAAGGTTTATGCACACAATGAGATTTCAACATTTGCGTGTTACTCGCTTAACATTTACTAAAAATAGTCTCAACATTCTTTGCTAACAAATTTACAGTATGTTCAACATTTTAGTACCTTTATTAGTAGGAAAATGTCATATCTTTGATTCATCAAAGTAACCTAATCTAGAAGTTATAACAGCAGAGAAAATTTGAGGCATTCTTTTTACAAGGGACATCAAATATTGGGATGAAACAGTTCACTAGTGCATTTAAAGTTAAAGGACAGCCTAGAATTTGACTACGCCATCATCACACAACCAGTTATTAGTATGTCAGACATGCACTGTTACATAGTCTTTCCATGTTATGAAGGAAACTTGTTTTATTTGACTTATATTTTCATTTAGAGTTGTTTCTCTAGAGTTTCCAATACTTAACAGCAATAAAAAATATGAAGTTTATGAAATAAATGTGAAATAAAAAGTGGTAAAAACCTGTGGTATGCAAATACTTTTGACTGGTAGTATATGTGAGTCTTTAATAATGATAATTACTATAAAAATACATGAGTGCTGTCATAATGAGTCTTTCCTAGAAAGGAAGCTACTATTGAACTACTGTAAACTAGCTACAGTGGCAATCAATTAGCAGCACTAACAGGAAAATGAACAATGAACCTATACAGGTTGTGGAAGTATTAATAAAGTATATTTTATGTGTACTTCCTCTAATCTAACCTCCCAAGCAAGTCTCACCCCAGTGTAAGAACCTTCTCAGATCCTCATGTGTTTCCTACACAGATGGCCGATTCCCATGAAAGAACCCAAACAAAGATGCCAGATGCGGGATTATGTAACTTTGAGGGCTTTGTCTGCAGGGGCCAGACCTCAGGATTAGCTAAGTAGGGTTTGAGCACTGACCTAGTGTAACTAACCAAATGATCCTCTTTTCTCCTTCCCCTGCTCATGAACACCAGGAACTGAAGGTACTGTGCCCCCAGTGGCAGGGAGGGCGATTGCAGGCTCAGCCTTATCACCCTCCTCTGCCTCTGCCCCCATTTTCTTAGCAGGGACACTGAGGGCCCTGTGGCTTATGGTGCTGATAGCATGCTTTACATGCGTGTTAGAACAGCTCCTTACTAAGAAAATGCAGGGCTGAGCTCATTCACTGGAGCCCCCCCACTATGTCAGCTTAAACACCGCAACCCCCCTCCCCCGCCCCTCCTGCAAGGATCCATCCATGCCATCTCTGTGTCCCAGCCGGGGGTTTCCTGGACCAGTTGGGGTATACTTCCCCTGAACGTTCAAAGACAAGAAGACAAGGGACTGATGTGGGACAGCTGTGACTCATAGCTACACACTCTCAAGCCAAAATGGAGGGTGGGGGCAGAGAGAGACATGATTACACAACTGTGCAGACCCATTAATCTTCATCTTTACTGTTCTTAGTTTTTCTTTCAGCCCAACTTCAGGTTCTTTATATAGGCACCCGCCCTTCCACTGTTGCCCAAAGAGCTTAACAAAGACAAGGCTCAATATTTATTATATACATTTATGTGTGACAGTACATTAGATAAGTAATGATCAAATGTGTTGCTATCAGCTATAATAACACCTGTAGTTAGTGTTGGACAAAATAACGCTTCATGAACCATTTGCTGTATTTTTTTACCCCACTAGATGGTGCTCTTGGTTTGCTTTGGGGCATGCTCAGTGCGATTTTTTTTTTTTTTAACAAAAAGCACCTAGTGGGGTGAAAAAATACAGCAAATGGTTCATAAAGCATCATTTTGTACATCACTACCTGTAACCCATATACTGTAGCCTAGTGATGGAGAAATAATGCCTCAGAACTCATGATAGTGGGATTATCAATCACAGCCAATCGCAGGCTGCTTTAATCCACCTCTCATCTTCCCATTGGTCAAACCGGGCAGTGACCAACAGCACACAGTAACCTCACGACGAATCAAACCCAATTATAATCAGAACAAAAAAATCCATATTTCATTAAAAACTATATGTTCTGTGAAACCCAGGATACACAAAGGAAGAATGGGCTCACATGCAACGCAGGTCATGACTAAAACTTATCTTATACTGCATGAAAACCAAGCAAATGTCCAGTGTCTTTAATTCTGGTACGTTAAACTAATGTGTGGACATCTAAAATGATGATAAACCATCAGGAGATTGTAAACGCCCAAGGTCAACCAAGGCTTTTCACAAATGACAAGCTTTTCTCCATTGAAACAAACTGTAGGGTCTAGTGAAGGCCAAATGAAGCTTCATGAACCATTTGCTGTATTCTCTGACCCCACTAGATGGTGCACTCTATTAAAAAATGCTCAGTATATGCCCCAATGCATAACAAGAGCACCATCTAGTGGGGTCAAAAAATACTGAAAAGTGGTTCATGAAGCTTCATTTGGCCTTCATTACTAGGCAGTAGTGATGGGCAAATGAAGCTTCATGAACCATTTGCTGTATTTTTTTACCTCACTAGATGGTGCTCTTGGCTTGCTTTGGGGCATGCTTTGAGCCCTTTTTTGAACAGACAGCACCATCTAGTGGAGTCAAAAAAATACATCAAATGGTTCATAAGTAACATTTTGCCCATTACTACTAAGCGGTGACAATGAAGACATACTGTCATGTCTACCGGGGGGTGCCACTTGGTCTTCTCCTCCATCTCTGTGAGTGCCCTTCATTCCTGCTTGGCGCGGCTCTGTGTGAATGACTTTGACACTGCCTTAATGCTTAACAACACTAACTTCATAACACATCACACACATGTGCACCTGACAGGTCATTTTATCGTCCTTCTTTGTTTATATCTGGGAAAAAATATTCTCAACGGGCAGACAAGTTGGGAAACTGCCCTAAATGTCTACTGACGATGTTAAAAATACCTTTTCCCTCCTGACATTTCCAAACTGACTTGGTGTCACTAGCAGCATGGCCGCGATTGATTTAAGGTACATTTTCTCTTTTCTCTCCACACAGAAAGCAATCCGAGTCACTACTTTCATGCAGCGCCTTCGAGCCCCTGAGCTTGCTGGGGGTGCTGGGGAAGCAGGTCCTAAGAACGAAGGCCAGGTGACGGCCAAGGAGGATGGGAACGTAGGTGTGACGAATACCAAGTACACCAACCTGGAGGTGACGGCCGGAAAGAAGTCCATGGAAGTGAAAGCGGAGGAGAAAGGGAAGGGAGAGGTTACCACAGCAGGAGAGGCAAACAGAAGCAATGGGGCAGTTCAAGCCAGCTTTTTGGTGGGCGTGGCTCCCGCATCCTCTGCAGAAGCTCTGAATAAAGCAAGAACCTCCCCCAAACCAGCAGGGCACCATCAAGACAGGGAAGGTGTGAGTATGAGCAAAAGCGACAGCACGACGAAAAATGCAGCCCTTTGGGGACAAAGCAGAAGCACACCAGAGAAGAAGGCCATGCTGCTGGACCCTGACGCTGCCAAGTTAGCAGAGAGCAGAGGCACCAAAGTGATCGTACTGGAGCAGGAGGACGGCAGCTCTGAAGAGAAGAAGCTTCCTTTCCCAGAGATGGCCAGTCGCAGGAAGATGGCGGCGGTGCTCTCACGCTCCCCCGATGACGGAGGCAGGTCTGTTATGCCAACAGCAGCTCCCCCTGCAGGTCAAGACAAGGCAGTGCGGCATGAGGGGCTGAAAGGAGAGCGTGGGCAGGATGTCGGCCCTGGAAGCTGGTGTCAAACCCAACTTCCAGAGGCTGTGGCAGAGAAGACGGCAGAAAGCCCTAAGGGAAGAGATAAGACAATGGAGGGAGTAGAAAAGAGCAGCTCAGATTTTAGCATCTCTAAGGTGAAACAGGCAGGTGTGGATTTTGGACAAACTGAGTGTCCAGGTCTGTCAGGCAAAACCAGTGTTAAGGAAGAGAGGGAGGTAGGAGGAGGCTTGTCTGGGTATGTGAGTCCCTACTGTCCTCCGTATTCCTCAAGCGGGGGGGTAGTCTTCAGCGGTTTTGGAGCGGAGGGAAGCAGAAGCTCCGACTGGATGATGGACAGCGTGATCGAGCAGATCGAGAGGCAAATGGCAGCTGTCCTGGAGAAGATCGAAGGAGACATGCCGTCTCTGCTGGAGCAGATCAGCGACTGCCCGGAGCAGAAGGCGAAAAGTGCCCACTGCTCGCCCTCCCCTAGGCACCGTGCCCTCCCTCAGGCCACGCCCCCACCCCTGCCCACCAGCCCCCGCCCACCTCTTCCCTCCCTCCCACATCTGAATATCCAGCCTCCATCATACCGCCCTCCACCCCCACCAGTTTTCCCCGTACGATCCCCACTGGCCGCCCCAGAGCTGGGTGAGAGGAACATGCAGCGAGCCGAAGGCAGGTCTGCTCAGTCTCCAAGGGGGGGTCAGGCAGCACGGGGGCTGTGAGGCCTCACATGAGCATGAATTTCTCCAACACAAGCATAGCAACACACAGGCACCAGCGGACACCCGCACGGCCATTATACACATAATGGAAGAACAGAGTGCAGCATGAGGCGTAACTGACCAATAAAATCAAACTTAGCAAGCATGTCTGGGGGCCTTCCCATGGGTGACAGGCAGGGGTGTATGCGGGGGCTCATCCACTGAGGCACTGGTCCCAGCTGAATGCCGATTGGCCTTTAGTATGGCCACACCCCTGTTACTCATCGATTCTAAACATATCATTGGTTGGGCCTACTGTATGAATTATGACCCCCACCATAAAGAATCCTAGACTCGCCCCTGGTACCATGCCCAATCCTTCCACCACCCCAGGAAAACACAGGCAGCTAGAGGCCCATTTGCCCCCGAGTGAACTGAGGGGCTGTCAGCAATGTGCTGCATTCCACACTGGCCACCCATAACCCTCTAAAAACCAGACATGGCTACACTTCCCGGTTCTGATCCTGCAGGAGCACTTTGTTTGCCTACTCATTTCATTGAGCTTTGTTCAGCTAATTATTGAAGACCAGATCTCATGAAAATCGTTTTAGTCATGGCAGACTGATCTGTGTTTGAAGAGTACCTCTACAGGTCAAAAGGTATCTTTTGATTTAAAAATTTTCAAATCATATGAAACAGTTCGATCAGTTTCGATTAACCAGTGGTGCATCAGGAAGAGACTGGATCAGGTGTCCTTGTGTTAATACAATAATAATGGTACTGCTTTGTTGATCTCAGTGCACTGATAGATCAGAACTGAGACACGATGGTAAATAAATGGACCAAATAGAGATTGCATTAAGTGAGCACCAAAGTGAGACATGTGCACATATTTCCAGACCCACATCTCAAACACAAAGACATTTTGCAGGCTGATGGTCCTTGTTGTGGTCCTGATGGCTCTCTGTCCCTTTTGATCATGCAGGCTTGAATCGTCCCTTGGCATTGCCTGTACAGTCCTGTCTAGCTTTGTGGTTAGGTGGTGTCTCTCTGTAATCAACTAGGACAGTGTTTCCAAATCCGGTCCTCAGGGACCCATAAACAGTCCACGTTTTTTCTCCCTCTCAGCTCCAGGAGCAAAAACGCCAGGGAGCTAAGAGGGAGCAAAAATGTGGACTGTCTGGCAGGGAGCTTGGAGGGTCACCCTGGCTGTGGGACCGTATTGAGAAACTCTGTTCTAGAATATCACATTGATTAGGTGCATTTGGAGTTTAGCTAAGTATAGTACAAGGTCTAAGGTTAAAGTCAGTGGTGTGGGGGGTAAAATCAGCTTCAGTTTTTCCTCCTGATTCTGTCATGGTCCAATCGCAGCAGCATGATCTTAGCTGGGTAGTGCCTGCATGCCACATTTAGAAGTTGAAAGAAGTAGAATAAAGAACAAATGGGGGAGGGGGGGTATTTTGTGTAATGGTACAGGGCTATGGTAGAGCAGGCCCACAAAGAAGCTCACTACTTTAACTCTCGCTTTTCCCCTGCTTCCTTAAGGGCCATTTGTTCACTTGTGTATTCAGACTTGCTGCCAAGGATCCATTAGTTGGACTGTCTAGGCCCATGCGCACGTGTAAGGAACATGCACACACTTATGTGCTAGCAGGTGTCAAAATATTAAGGAAGGGACTGTATTCTCACCTGGAGTAACCGACTACTTTAATCCCATATTTTCCAGCTCTTATCTTTTCTACAAAATCCCTCCCCTGTTTTTCAGATGAAATATTCTGCCAGATTGTTTGTGGATTTGTCTTGTATTTAACATTATAATGATACTGTGTTTTTGTTTATGCCTTGGTGTCTTTCATCTCTCTGTATTTATAAATATATATTTAAAAGATATTTAACCTACAGTGTTCTGATGTTTAACTCTGTATAAATATGAAGTCATGAGACTGAGAGAAATACATTTTGTCAGAAATTCTTCCAATTAAACTTCTGATCTCACCTTCTTGTGCTTTGGTGTGACTGCATCTTTATCTTGCAAAAAAATGTGTTGCAGTATTTTGATCATAGTGCACATTTTGTATCTCTCTAATTTTGATCGTGGTTGATCCTTTATTTCCCTTTTTCTTACTGTTGGGGTGAAAGTGCATCATTTCCTCATTGTCCTAAATATCAATGCAGGCCTTATTTCTTAAACATGCATGTTGCTGTGCTTTAAGTGCATCTAGTCCAGATTCATCATTTCCTGAAAGTTCAGCAGGCCCTGTGTCATTTACATGTGTGCTTGTGGGCTACTTTGTACATTGTGGGAAAACAATATCAACCCATTTACCAGAATGCGCTACATGAAACCAAAGGCCTTTTCTGTAATAACATGAAGGCCAGAGGTGATGTTATTGTAGTTTCTAATTTATTTGTCAGTATTTATGGGAACCTGCTAACCGATCACACATTACTGTCATGGTTTTGGCAAGTAAACAAATAACCTGGATATTGCAGCCACATCCTCTTGCTTAAATTATACATATTTACCTATAAGCACTGCTAAATATTACCTATCCAAATACATAATAGTACGAAATGCCACAGTTCAAAAATTACCCCAGAGTAATGATTGGTTAGTCATTGGGGTTTCATTCATACCACATTCAAACATCCAATCATCATTTTCCCAAGAATTAAACATTTAATAATGCTGTCCATTTACTGTACTTTCATAATGCCTATATGATGATGGTTTTGTAGAACATCCAGTGCACCTTCACACTGCATTCATAAGCAAAATGTAAGTATGCCTTAACATCATAACTTGCCATAATAGCAGATTCAGCACACATTAATAACAAAGAATTATACAATTATAATGTTATATAGATACTCGTCAAATATTACTTCAGTACAAGAGAAAGGTGATTTTACTTGAGTTAATGTACTAGAGTACGTGCTTTTAGAAATACTTAAGTATTCAAAAGTACATTTTCTTTTCAATGTCAACACTTTGTTGTATTACTGCCACAGTGCAGTGACAGAACCTAATGACTTTGGCACAGCCTACTGAAAGCACTGAATTGCTTTTAGAAGCTGTGGAATGAACATCTTGTGGACTATACTACTCTGCCTATAGAAACACAATTGACTTGACAAAGGGACAGCCATTGTTGTGTGTGTGTGTCTATGTGTGTGCACGCGTGTGCATGTGTGTGTATGTTCATGCACATGTGTGCATCAGGCAGACAGGAATTGCTGTAGATGCAACTTCCACAGAAAATCAAAAGTAATTAAAACAACCCACCCAGGTACACACCCCTAGCTTTATTACTGCCCAATAGCAACTTGACTGACAGCGCAGAAGTAGATTACTGTGATTGGTTTTTCTCCTGGGATGAGCACAATACAAGCACAATCTCATTTTAGCAAAGAAAATTTGTCAGCTGAAAAAAATTGAAATTCAAGTAAAGTACATATACTCAAAAAATGTACTTAAGTACAGGACTCAAGTACTTTGTTACTGTCCACCCCTGGTTTTAATGCTTGATCTGTGTGTGTGTGTGTGTGTGTGTGTGTGTGTGTGTGTGTGTGTGTGTGTGTGTGTATGGAGTCTGCATGTTCACTACATATTTTTTCGATTTCATCCAGTACTCCAGTTTCCCCTGCAGTCCAATGACATGCTGTGGGCAACCTGACTTTTCTAAAATTGCCCACCCTAAGGTGCAGTGGGATCCCATGAAAAACTGCTCTGGCCTAAGTAATTCGCAACCTGTTTTACAATGAGCAATACAGCTACTGTAGATAAGCTTCCAGAATCATCAAAACTCTTATCCGAGACCATTCTTAGAAGCTGAATAACTGTGGTTATAATTTAGAGTCACAGTACAAATTTTAATCAACCTACAAGTAATTTCGATTTCATGCACCTAGACTACAAGTCCCATCGATCTTAGCGGCATGGTAAACTCTGGGTTGGCTCAATTCACAAAGAAAGGGATAAACGTCGTTGTCGTTTAATTCTCTTCTGTAGTTGCAAAAAAAGTACGAATCCTTATACATATGTTCAGTATGAATATTGTTTTGTGTGCATGTTGAGGAAACACCGTGTAGCGGCTGTAAATGACACATTTGTTATCCCTGAGCACCCCCAGTGTGCGGAACGTTTCTAGACCCGCTCTCCGCACATGTTGCTGCTCTCGGGTCTGAGCTGACGCGGTCAGATAACAATCCTGAGGTGTCGGGAGCGGCCGTTTCGCAGATTGCCAGGCCCCTGCTTCACTTCTCAAAGTAGCCCAAACTCCCGCCAGTTCGCCAGATGCTCTCTGGGAAATAAACCCCGAATTCCACTTCGCTTTGAGCTTTTTCTTTGGCGGCATATTTGCCTTTCCATAACGAGAGTCAGGCCCGGGTAATATCGGATGTGGTGAGTTCTGCATACTTTCTCGCTACTTGTTTTCACGCAGCTTTGCTGGTCTTGCTGGTCGTTGCGCACCGGGCAGCGCCGACTGTCATCTGGGAAGAAGAAAGCAAGTTCGGCCTGGTCTGTCACCAAGGTTAGCAGGATAATGGGGATCGGGGGAACCGGGGTTCGGGGCGGAGGGGTGAGAGGAGGACAGGAGCAGCAGGGTCGTGGTCAGAGTCGCCGACGTTCCTCAAAGGCAGGTTTGCATTAATTTCTCTCTTTTTAGATGTTTTCCCATTTTGGTAACGCTCCCTAGAGGGAAGCAGTCTATAGTCAGCCTAAGCTGATGTTAGCTAGCTCTTTCGTTATCCGCGGAGTTGGGGGATACTCTAACAAACTAGCCGAACATGTGTCTTAAACTGGTTTTTATGTGTAGGTGGATCTCTGGTGTTAGTCGGTGGTGGGGGGCGGCGTGGGGGGTGGACGGATCGCGCGGATTCGGACCCGTGCCGGTACATACTGCGCTGTAGACTAGCGGCCCTCTCGGGCCTTTGTCATCCCCCAACACCCCATCCCCCCACACTCTGCTCGAGTTCCTGTACGGATTTTCAGCACTAACCCCGAAATCTCTGGCGTCTACCTTTATCCCCCTCCGTCGAGGGATGCCATCTCCATTTGCTTGCTTTTTCTGTGCAACTTATTGTGTTAAAATGTGGTAGTGTTAAAATCGGCCGCTGGGGGGGTCAAATCTCGTGGATTTTAGGGTTAAAAGTGATGGGAGAATAAGGCAGGGATCTGCAAGCGATGATGACGGCGTTTTACAAACTCAACTTGTCTCTAAATCCTTCTGCATGTAACATAAACTAAGATGTGCATATATGCGGTTCTAATTTAACTGTGAAGTATCGGTCAGCAACTTCCTGTTGATTTTCTTTTGTGTATTTTTAGAGACCCAAGGCTATCTCATACTCAGCTGGTTCAATAGACAATATACCGCTGCGCTTGCTTGTCATTCCTTCGAGCACATTTGCATTTCGCAAGCAGGTTATTATGATAGAAATATAAAATAATAACAATTTAAGTGTGTTATGATTTAATCAGTCTAAATACTTGCTATATCTAAAACTGTGAAATCGGCATAGGTGCACGGATGCTGCTGGTGAATGATACTGTTTTTAATACACTGAGATGTATAACACTCAATTCAAATCAGTAAAAGACAATCACTTGCAGTATCATCGGAATTTGTGTCATTGCAATGCTCCACAGTTACAAACATTTGATATTTAGGTTTACTATATTACTGTTCATTGTGTTACGGCAGTTGACAGAAACACACTCAATCATTAATGTTTTTCCCTGAATACCGAACTACGCTTCGATAAGCCCAATATGAATACATTTGTTAATTTTGTATCACCTGCAGTATGTTTTGATAGCAGCCGTTCTGCAATAACCATTCAATTAATCAAATTAGACGACTGTATTTTAGCTGTAGATCACGCTTTGTCTGTAAAGCACTCTATTAGCGCCTGTTACAGCAGTTGGTTTGCCTGCATGCCGGGTGTTAGACTTTCTGTTCATCGTCCACGCGAAAGCTTGTGGGCCAAGGAAAGGATCGCGGTTCGTCGAGTGCCGAGTTAGACTGGCCAATGAGCTGTCCCAGATTTGTTTACGTGTAGCTTCCGTCGTACGCGCGGACGTACATACGCCGACCGGCTCCGCCTCCGCCCCCCTCCTCCTCCTCTCAGCTGCCATTTTGGTTTTGTTCCCGTCTGCGGCGCTACCAGGAAGAAGGAACAGCCGCTCAGAGTGACTCGACACTTGGTCGAAACCTGCGACGGCGCTCCCGGGCCGACGCGTTTCTCCACTGCACGTCGGCGCTTTCAGAACTGCGTTTCCGTTTTTGCTTGGAGGAGGCGGGTGACTGTGACACAGCCGGATTTATATAGAAGGGAGGTTTGCAGGCGCTGAGGGAGGACAGAGAAGGAATATTGGTAAGAACCCCCGGGTTACTGGCGAGTAGCGGTTCGATGAAGAGCACTATTGACTGGTTTGTTTGACACTAACGGGCGTGTTCCCGGACATCAGCTCGGCAAATCAGGTGTGGTGCTCATCAAAATGTGTTTACTGTTAGCTCGTCTAAGGACCAGGCCCTGGTCAGGCAGTCAACTAGTCCTCTGGGTAGCTAGTTACCGTTCTGAATGAATGGACTTGATGGGACAATGGATGGTTGTCCGGGTTGGTTTGGGCCCACTTTAAAAACGTTGCTTTCGGACCCATTCCACAAAGGAAAGACCGTGGCTTGAGTTTGACATAATGAGGTAAACTACGCCTCATACGAACCCCTGGGGAGGTCAGACCTCCAATCTAGTGTTTACTTTATCTTAGTTATGTTTACTAACCGTGCGTGTTGTAACCGTAACATAAGTAGGGTAGACATTTAACCGGTTTACTCACTATAGCGTATTCCAAGCTGCCGTGGTTCTGTTTAATTACCCGTGTAATTCAGCTGGATGGGACGCAGTAGGCGGTCAAAACGTCAGGCTTTCTGACACACAATAAAATCCTATATTATAAAAAATGAAAACGTGTATAACTTACCGTCTGATTGTGTGAGCTCCTTTAAGGGAAAAAGAAATCTAGGGCAGCAGTTGAAGCTCTGCTCTGCAGAGGAGCTCGCCCAGGTGGATCTAATGATTCAGCATTTTGAAGCACTGTACTGTATCACTGGCAGTGGCCGGATGCGCCCTCAGTCTGTCTGTCCTGCTCTTTCTGACTGTTCTGGATCCGCCCGCGGTGTGTCTGTCCTGCCATTCCAATAACTCTATAGTCCAGACGCTCTCTCGTTGTCTGTACTGCCTTTATTTCGGATTCTGCAGTTCGGTCCCGCTCTTGGGCTGCGCCTATGCACAACTGACCTGCTTAGTTGGTCCAGACTGCAGAATCATAGGTAAAGGCCAGGCCTCCATACTGTTCCGTGCAGCGTACGGTCTGGTCTTAGAAGTACTGTGATACTTAGCTTTGCTAGTGATTTTTCATAGGTTGCTTGTTTCTGGATTTAATTATTCCTGTGTTTATCTGAGTAACATGAGAAGGCATAGCTATTTATTGAGCTTTTAGAAATACTTGGCAATATATGGCCAGAACCCGGATGGGTCAGCGTACTCTGCCTGTGTGGTGCCCCCAGAGGTGCCGCTAACCTGGGCTGCTCAGGCTCACCTTTATCTTAACCTTTAGCTGAAGCAGAGTGTTGGTATGGTGCCCCCGAGCCGGTAAAATGCCGGGCAGTAGGCCAGGTGGCAGGCCCGCTTTCCTGCCATTTGACGTCAGCAGGACTGCGGGACTTCACCTGAAGGCCCATGCGCTTACTGGGTGTCTCATGGTCAGGTTTTGGATGGTGACTCTCACACCAGCCTCTGTATTCATTCCTGTTTCTGCCTTTGAATTTTAGGGGATTTATCCTTTCACTGGGGGTTCTTATAGGGGGTTCTTTCCTCTGACAAAGGTCAGGTCTGTTGTCTGACTTGGAACAATACAAATCAGTAAACTGCTTCCTGGATTTACTGCACCCCCTAGAGTGTCGTTTACAGATTGCATGGGGGAAGTCCATGAAACCCTGTCACTCTGACAAGCAGTCTTCTATGAAAGGTAGATTAATTTATTAAATCTTTCAAGATCTTAAATTGATATGCTACAGATGTTTCACATTTTATCTAGGTTTTGCTGTATAAGGTACTTCTTCAATAATTAATTCAAATTTTGTGAGGAAAGAGAGAGAGAGAGAACCCTTCCCCAGCTTGTAACGGCCTATTTAGGTAAATCATCTGTTTGACTTCCTTCCCGACTGCTGCCAGAGCTGGACTGGGAGGTACCTGATTTTCACAACTTTTAAGGAACTTGCAGCCTCTTTTTGGTGTTCACCCCTATTCCTGGTGCTGACTGTGTTTCCTACACAAAGACTGCCGTGTAGGTAAAATCATCCGGTTTAAGGTCTCGTGCCGAGAAGGTCCGAACACTATCCTGTCGAATGGATTATCAGATAAGAAAGTTCATTGTTGGTTGATCCAATTAGTGATGAAGTATTAAGGTCTTTGGCACCTCTGAGTATACAACTTGCTCATATGCTGCACCAGGTGCACTGAGGCTTTTTCATGGAGATGGAAGTTTGGTGTGGCGTGCGGCAGACTTCCTCAGCGTCTTGTGCAGGCGAAGGCTGTTCATTTCACAGAAATATCTGCCGCACTGCAGCTGCACAGGAACATCAATCGTCTCTGAATGGCCGTGGTGGGGGGGGGGGACTGCAATTTTTCACGGGTCACACCTTTATCCCTCTGTGTTAAGATGTCCAGTTCGCCGCTGTCCAAGAAGCGTCGCGTGTCAGAATCAGAGACGAAGACGGAATCCCACAGCTCCTCCTCCAACTGTGTCAGCAGTGAACTGTCCCACACACCCACCAACGTAAGTGCGCATGCTCCCCCAGTTGGATTGCGGAAAATTCGTCATTTGTGCTAAATTGAAAGTGAAAGAGGGACTGGTTTACCCTTTCTGCTGCTTTAGGGCATGGCTAGAAATGGGAATGAAGCTGACATCGATGAAGGACTCTACTCCAGGCAGCTGTGAGTTAGGCTTTCCAAGCCTTTCTTTAGTGTGATGTTTGAGTGGAGTTTGTCCCCAGTTCCTTTTCTGTGGTTTTTTTCTTGTTCTTAGATTTGGCAGCTTTTTTAGATATCCTGATTTCGTCTCACAGTCCAAAGGCAGGCTGTTCTTCTGAATTTCTGTGACTCATGTGATGTTCTTTTAGCTGTCTAGGGTGCTGCCCTGTCCCAGATAATCTTGACCTCAAATCTGAGTGGCTGAATGGAAACAAGTGTAGAAGCTAACCAGTGAAAGTGCTTGCCTAACAATTGATGCGTAGCAGTTCCAGTTAGCGAAGACTCTGAGGCCTCTGTGCCATCTCCTTTAGCTATGTGCTGGGGCACGATGCCATGAAGCGCATGCAGACCTCCAATGTCCTGATATCTGGGCTGCGTGGTCTGGGTGTGGAGATTGCCAAGAACGTCATCCTGGGAGGGGTCAGGAGCGTGACCTTGCACGACCAGGGCCTCGCCGAATGGAGGGATCTGTCATCGCAGGTGAGTGACCGGCTCTGTCGAGGAGCTGCCAGCCTGCACCTGGGCTTCCCCTCCGTGATTAACAGCCTTGCACTTTCTCACCAGTTCTACCTACGTGAGGACGACCTGGGCAAGAACCGTGCCGAGGTCAGTCAGCCTCGCCTGGCAGAGCTGAACAGCTATGTGCCTGTGGTGGCTTACACCGGCGTCCTCACCGAGGACTACCTGAGCCAGTTCCAGGTGAGTGGCCTTCCAGGTAGGGCGGCTGCCGGCCCGGGACCTCCTTTGACTCCCTGACTCTGCATCTTGCAGGTGGTAGTGCTGACTGACTCCAGCTTGGATGAGCAGTTGCGCATTGGGGAGCTCTGCCATGGCAAAGGGATCAAGCTCATTGTGGCCGATACTCGTGGCCTGTTTGGGTAAGGCCCTACACTGCTATGGTGTCAACCTCTGGCATGAATCCTAGTAGGACATGTAACACAGAAGCAGTATATGTTAAATGGGGTGAAAGGGTGGTGAGGCTGAGGAGCTCAGTCTGTGTTTGTCAGCACCATTAGATGGTCTTCATAGTAGATTCCTTCTCCAGTTCATGTTTTTGGTGTCATTGACGTTTGACTATGTAAGCTGACTCATCTGATCTTTCCCCACCTTTGACTTTGTGGCTTCTTGGTAAACGTGTTTCCCTCTCCTTGTCTGCCTTCCCAGCCAGCTGTTCTGCGACTTTGGTGAAGAGATGACAGTGTTCGACACCAATGGGGAGCAGCCTCTCAGTGCCATGATCTCCATGATCACCAAGGTTAGTCCCACTGCCACTGATCTATAGTACTGGTCTCCTTTGTCCATGTCAAATGTGGCTGGGGGGAGCAGTAGGGGATGGTTTATGGGCTAGTAAGGACCACTCAATCTGGGCTAAATGAAGATATCTAGTGCTGTGAAATGAACTTGCGGTCTTCAGATTCATCTAACTCGTATAAAACAGCAGCAGGGTGTGTGCCTGTGTTGGGGTTGTCATGCTCTTTGAGGCTGATCCAGGATCTGTCCTGGCCTCATGTAACCTCCTTTGTTGCCTTATTCCAGGACAACCCAGGTGTGGTGACCTGCCTGGATGAGTCCCGGCATGGCTTTGAAAGCGGTGACTTCGTCACCTTCACTGAGGTGCAGGGCATGACTGAGCTGAATGGGTCCCCACCCGTGGAGATCAAAGCCCTGGGTAGGTAATGCAGCACCTCCTGCTGGCTCATGTCGGTTCAGCCTCTCAGGTATAATGATGGGGGCTCTTTGTCGGCTTTCAGGTCCCTATACCTTCAGTATCTGTGACACCAGCTCCTTTTCCGAGTACGTCCGGGGAGGGATCGTCTCCCAGGTCAAGATGCCCAAGAAGATCAGCTTTGTGAGTCTGACCCTGTGCTCCTTCTACTCCACCCTCCTGCCCCCCCTCCATCTTATCTTCACTGTTCGTGACATGCGTCCCTGTGCTTCTCCGTGCAGAAATCGCTGCTGGCCTCGCTGTCAGAACCAGAGTTTCTGCTCACCGACTTTGCCAAGTTTGAGCGTCCAGGCCAGCTGCACTTGGGCTTCCAGGCACTGCACGCTTTTGAGAAGCAGCACGGCCGTGTCCCCAAACCCTGGAACCAGGTACATCTTCCCACTTGACATAGCCAGTGGGAACCCTTTAACATTCTGATGTCCTGCTTATGCTGTCTGTTCTCGTCTTTACTCCACGGTACCCCATCCCAGTCAGATGCAGATGAACTGGTATCTCTGACTAAAGAAGTCAATGCTGCCCAATCAGGCAGTGCCAAGCAGGAGCAGCTGGACAAGGGCCTCCTGCAGAAGCTGGCATATATGGCAGCCGGTGACCTGGCCCCTGTCAATGCCTTCATCGGTGGTCTGGCAGCACAGGAGGTTATGAAGGTCAGAGAGAAGCCGTGCCATGCTTGCTGTACCCTTGGGGCTGGAAGTGCTTTCCCAGGCAGCACTGATGACCTGTGTTTTGGTTCCCCCTGCAGGCCTGCACTGGGAAATTCCTGCCCGTCATGCAGTGGCTCTACTTTGACGCTCTGGAGTGCCTGTCTGAGGAAGAGGGCGCATTGCTTTCTGAGGAGGAGTGTGCACCTGTGAGCCAACATCTGGCACATCTTAGCTCCAGTAGCACGACTGCCTTGTTAGCACCGTGTTCCAACATGGCTGCTTAACTGTTAAGCTGCCAGCACCGCTCTGATGTTTAACACCTAGTGATTCATCATGCCAGACATCTCCAGTCCTCAGCGTCTGGAATAACCTGCCGTTTCTTCCCTTTCAGAGAAATTGTCGATACGATGGACAGATTGCTGTGTTTGGCTCCAAGCTGCAAGAGGAGTTGGCCAAACAGAGGTATTTCCTGGTAAGTAGTAACCCAGTTTGGTTAAATATACTGCCTTTTTTTAAAGGCCATTGTCCAAAACAGCTGAAGGCTTGATATTTGGTGGCCTCACTCCTTTCCAGGTTGGGGCAGGTGCCATAGGCTGTGAGCTCCTGAAGAACTTTGCCATGATGGGACTGGCCAGTGGGGATGGCGAAGTGATCGTCACCGACATGGACACCATCGAGAAGTCCAACCTCAATCGCCAGTTCCTCTTCAGGCCGTGGGATGTCACGGTGAGGACCCAGGGTGCAGACCGTGGTGTGAAGTGAAACTCTGCGCCCGTCTTAATGAAATGAGTAACACTGCTTCAAGTAGTTCATATGAATCCCAGTGACCATTGTGCTATGTGGGAACCCACCAACTTCTCTCAATACCAAGGAATTATGCAAACAGTGGGTTAGAATCGGGGAGGGGGCAGAGTGTGTGTTTTACATTCGAGATTTGCAGTGGGGTGGGCATTCAGGTAGGGCTGAGTCACAACGGTAGCGTGATGCCAGGGGGTGAGGTGTTCGTGCTCACACGTGGGTTGTGTCTCGACTGTGAGTGCAGAAGATGAAGAGTGAGACAGCAGCTGCCGCCGTCAAGCAGATGAACCCATCCGTCCGCATCACGGGCCACCAGAACCGGGTCGGACCCGACACTGAGAGGGTCTACGATGATGACTTCTTCGAAAGCCTGCACGGTGTGGCCAACGCCCTAGACAACGTTGACGCACGTAAGCCGGCCCGCCATTGCCCTCACCTGTTTTTGAGATGTTTCTTTGTGAAGACCTCAAGGCCAGACATGCCTTGATATCCTCCATGCCAGCCCACCCATGTGCACATGTCTTGTTCGCTGGTGTGTATTTGTAGGCATGTACGTAGACCGGCGCTGTGTCTACTACCGGAAGCCTCTCCTGGAGTCGGGCACTCTGGGCACCAAGGGTAACGTGCAGGTCGTGATTCCCTTCCTGACTGAGTCCTACAGTTCAAGTCAGGACCCCCCCGAGAAGTCCATCCCCATCTGCACGCTGAAGAACTTCCCCAATGCCATAGAGCACACACTGCAGGTGTGGCCCCTTCCTGGATATTCCGGGGAGCGAATCCACCTTTCGACTTTTGGGTTTACTTGGGTTTACATAGTAACTTGTGGGTCTGGTACCACCTTGGCGTATTAAGTTGATAACCCAAACACAATTTTTGGTGCAAAGGTTTAAAGTTCTCCAGTGTTCAACTGTCGCTTCTATGCTTTCCTCCCCCAGTGGGCACGTGACGAGTTTGAGGGTCTCTTCAAGCAGCCAGCAGAGAATGCCATGCAGTACCTGACGTAAGTCTCCCCGCCATGGGGGCTGCTGAGTAGTGTTGGGGTGAGCAGAGGTTAGAGTGTGGTCTCCATCTGCAGAGACCCCAAGTTCATGGAGCGTACGCTGAAGCTGCCTGGAGCCCAACCACTGGAGGTGCTGGAGGCCGTGTATAGGACCTTGGTGACGGACTGCCCCCGCAGCTGGGAGGACTGCGTGGCCTGGGCCCGCAACCACTGGCAGGTCCAGTACAATAACAACGTCCGGCAGCTGTTGCACAACTTCCCCCCGGACCAGGTGAGACTTGCGACTGCCATCCAGGCTGATTATGGGTGGAGCTGCAGCTTCTGGGGTTCTGTTCTCACTCATATTGCCGTCATAGGTCACCAGCTCTGGGGCACCATTTTGGTCAGGTCCAAAGAGGTGTCCTCACCCACTTGAATTCAGCACCGACAACGTGAGTGATGGCCTACATGAGCGGATCGGGTTCCGATGCTTTGGGTTTACAACGTGACCGACACCTGCTTTTGTTCTCCCTCCTCCTCCTTGCAGCTGCTGCACATGGACTACGTCATGGCTGCAGCCAACCTGTTCGCACAGACCTACGGGCTGCCAGGGAGCACCGACCGTGCCGCTGTGGCCCATATCCTTCAGGAGGTCAAGGTGCCCACCTTTACTCCCCGGTCAGGGGTCAAAATCCATGTATCAGACCAGGAGCTGCAGAATGCCAACGCCTCCGTGGGTAAGCTACAGTCAGGGGTGCAGGGAAGAGGTGGAGGGCCCGGTCGCTGGCAGTCTGACCTGTGGCTATTTTTACAGATGATTCCCGGCTGGAGGAGCTGAAGTCTCTGTTGCCAAGCCCAGACACTGTGTCTCAGTTCAAACTCTGTGCCATCGACTTTGAAAAGGTACAGCCCAGTTCTGAGCTAGTTAATCACTGATTAAGTTTCCTTTGAGCACCAAAGGATGCATTCCTGATCTCTCTACCATGTCACACCATCCAGGATGACGACACCAATTTTCACATGGATTTCATCGTAGCTGCTTCCAATCTGAGGGCGGAGAACTACGACATTCCGCCTGCTGACAGGCACAAGGTATGGCCCCGACCCTCCTCTTGGCTGGAACCTACCTTCTGCCCCGTGCTCCATGTGATTTTGCTCTCTCCTCCCTTAGAGTAAGCTGATAGCTGGGAAGATCATCCCAGCAATCGCCACGACAACAGCAGCGGTGGTGGGCTTGGTGTGTCTGGAGTTGTTGAAGGTTGTTCAAGGCCATCGACGCCTTGAGTCCTACAAGAACGGCTTCATGAACCTGGCGCTTCCCTTTTTCGCCTTCTCGGAGCCCATCGCTGCCCCCACTCACAAGGTGGTGGCCCATGGCATTAAACCTTTGTTTAGTTTTGTTTATTTGGCCTGTTTCCTGTATTTCCCCAGTGTTTCCCCTAGGATTACAGCTCTGGGGGGGGGGGGCGGCAGACGGACACCGACAGGATTCATGGTGTTCATGTGTTTCTTTTAACGACAGCAGTCAAAAAAAAAACGCAGATATTTGTCTGCGTTTCAGGTGGTTGACGTGACATTTTCCGACGCGCGGTCTCTGTCCGCTGGTGGGAGTGTGCTCACCTGCGTACAGAGAGCAGAGGAGAATTGTAAAGGCGCGACCGTGTAGAGACAAAAATTAGCTGTTGTGTAAATAAGATAAATAACATAAGACTATTTTAGTTTGTTTAATAAAAGGACAATGTATAGACCTGTTCTATAGGAAAGGTAACCTTAAATGACTTCTGTTGTGATCAGGCGCTATATAGAAAATAAAATTAAAATTAACTTGACCTTCAAGGAGGGGTAGGAGGTGCCATTGGGGGGATGGGGCGCCCCCACTAATATAATGGTAGGGGAAACGCTGTTCTCAGCTTCTGGGAGCCTCTTGGAAGGGATTTCTCCTTTATTCTCAGCCTGCATTTCCTCTCCGCTCCTAATGTCTTGACGTCTCTGTCCCGCAGTACTACGAGGAGAGCTGGACACTGTGGGACCGTTTTGAGGTGACCGGCGTGCCGCCTGGTGGGGAGGAGATGACCCTCCGGCAGTTCCTGGACTACTTTAAGGTACAGGAGCCGCTGGTCTCAGTCACCTCTGAAGGTGTGCTTAGGTCCCGGTAAAGCCCAGTCTTACTTTTTCCTGGCAGAACGAGCACAAGCTGGAAATCACCATGCTGTCCCAGGGTGTGTCTATGCTCTACTCCTTCTTCATGCCCGCTGCCAAGCTGAAGGAGAGGCTGGACTTGCCGTAAGTGCATCAGCAGTGACCGTGGAGCGTTGGGGTATGATGGTAGTCGATGGTCTTCCAGATTCAGGGGGCGTGGGGATCTTTTACAGCTATTGCGACCCAAACTGGCTGATGGGGATTCCCCCTGCTCATGTCGTGTAACTTTTGCCGTCTTGCAACGTTCTTTGCACTTGAGCGTTGTGTGGGTTTTTTTTTTTTTCTTTTCTGCACAGCCAACCTCCCCCCCCCCAACACCTATAACCTCAAAATGGGCAAACATCCAAAAGGAAAGTTGGAGGTTATCAGTTTTTAATGGGGGACCTGTGGTGAGAGTATGGCTAGAATCACTCTGCAGGCCAGAACGAAACTGCATTTTCACATGTGGGGCACAAAGCGGAGGATTCCCTGTGAACTGTAGTAACTGTTGATGTTTCAGTCCGGTACAGTGAGTTATTTTGAAGTGGTAAATGGAAACGGCGCAATGGTGATTTGTGGTGCCGGCGATTCATGAGATGCAGTACGGCTGTTTTCAATGCAAATAAATCAAAGCATCTGAAAAGAGACCATTTAGTGGAAGATGACACGTTCACACAGATCATCCAAGACTTTGGAACTTTCAGATTACAAGAAGCTTTCTTGATGGCAACTTGGCAAAAAAAAAATTAGAGAGGGTAATTGAGTTCATTAGATTATGAGTTACAGAATAGAGGCTTCTGCTGACATAGGTGCTTTGGAGGTAAGATATACTCTGGCCTCATCCCTAAATTTGACACTCATACCAGAGCTTGAAAAGAAGGTTTACCAGTGTACAAAATCACTTCGTGGGTGTGGCTGCAACCTCTTTTACGATATGTGCGATTTAGCTGCCGACTCGACATCGTTGCTTAGCCTTTCTGCACACTGCATTAACCCCAGTTTTACTTAAAAATGTGTGCTGTTGCTTGCCTAGTCAGGTCCATTCATCTGGTACAGTCGAGGGTGTAACAGACTGGAATTCCGCAGATATAGAACATATAGAATTTTTATAATTTTATATTAATGATAATAACTTGGGCCTGGGACTCCCCTAGTACTTGTTGCATTTCAGCTGGCTGTTTGAGAGCTTATTGTTGTGTGGGAGGTTCTTCACAGCAGTGACTCAGGTGTGCAGGATAATGGCTTCATCTTGGGATGTGACTGACATCCCC